GCGGGGGGGTGAAGAGTGGGGGGGGGGGGGTTCATGGAGGAAGTATGGTCAGTTATGAGGTGGGGGTGGGATGGACTTTCCTATTGATCACCTATAGGGGGACAGAGTAGGAGATAAGGGGACAGGTTGGGGTAGGGAGTTCCAGAGGATGGAAGAGGCTCTGGAGAAGTCCTGAAGGTCATTCATATCGCTTTATGTTGCAGAATCCGGCTCCCGGTTTGGTGGCCTTCAAGAGGCCTCTTCCCTATGCCGAGACAGACCTGGAGTATCACCTGTGCCCGCTGCCGAAGTACCCGTCCCCCCGGGACTGCGCGGGGACCACACAGAGGAAGTTCCTGACCCGCGAGGTACCAGTGCCGCCACGTTGTCAGGGGACGTCAGGCCGAGGTCGGCTCCAAACATTGAACTTCTCTATTCATTCTTCATAGGAAACCATTCGGGGAGTCATGAGCTGGAAGAAGTTCCCTTCTGTGGCCCTCTCCGTCTCCCTTCCCGCCGAGAGTGACTGCCGACCGCGCTGGTAAGAGTGTGACATCATCACCGATCCATGCCGGGCTGGTAAGAGTGTGACATCATCACCGATCCATGCCGGGCTGGTAAGAGTGTGACATCATCACCGATCCATGCCGGGCTGGTAAGAGTGTGACATCATCACCGATCCATGCCGCGCTGGGGGAGGGGCATTTTTTGACCAAGAACTCTGTGGGCGGGGCTCCAGAGACCACCGCCCAGCTTCTCTTACTCCACCAATCAGCTGATCACATTGTGTCCCCAGGTGTGACCCCTTCAATGCGGATTTCCTGCCATCGGAAGCTCCACCCACTCTCAGCCGGTTACCGGAAGAGGACGAAGATAACGTTGTACCCCGGTGAGTGCGCAGAGCCCCTCCCCCCACCCAGCAGACTGGTATATACTCCTATATACGCCCCGCACAGATCCCGTATATACTCCTATTTACACCCCACACAGATCCCGTATATACTCCTATATACACCCCACACAGATCCCGTATATACTCCTATATACACCCCGCACAGATCCCGTATATACTCCTATATACACCCCGCACAGATCCCGTATATACTCCTATATACACCCCGCACAGATCCCGTATATACTCCTATATACACCCCGCACAGATCCCGTATATACTCCTATATACACCCCGCACAGATCCCGTATATACTCCTATATACACCCCGCACAGATCCCGTATATACTCCTATATACACCCCGCACAGATCCCGTATATACTCCTATATACACCCCGCACAGATCCCGTATATACTCCTATATACACCCCACACAGATCCCGTATATACTCCTATATACACCCCGCACAGATCCCGTATATACTCCTATATACACCCCGCACAGATCCCGTATATACTCCTATATACACCCCGCACAGATCCCGTATATACTCCTATATACACCCCACACAGATCCCGTATATACTCCTATATACACCCCACACAGATCCCGTATATACTCCTATATACACCCCACACAGATCCCGTATATACTCCTATATACACCCCACACAGATCCCGTATATACTCCTATATACACCCCACACAGATCCCGTATATACTCCTATATACACCCCACACAGATCCCGTATATACTCCTATATACACCCCACACAGATCCCGTATATACTCCTATATACACCCCACACAGATCCCGTATATACTCCTATATACACCCCGCACAGATCCCGTATATACTCCTATATACACCCCACACAGATCCCGTATATACTCCTATATACACCCCGCACAGATCCCGTATATACTCCTACAGACTCTGCGTTGTTAGCTCCTCCCTCCCTCCACACACGCTCACAGTGATTGGTGTTTCCTCAGGGAGGCGGAGGAGTCGCAGTGCAGAGTGTCGCTGACCCCGGAAATGCTGAGAGCGGAGTTCACATTAATAGAAGATGACGTGTGAGTATCCGTGTGTCTGGTCGGTCGGGGGGACGTGTGAGTATCCGTGTGTCCGGTCGGGGTGGCGTGTGAGTATGCGTGTGTCCGGTCGGGGTGGCGTGTGTCTGGTCTGTGGCGGTGACATGTGAGTATCCGTGTGTCCGTTCGGTCGGGGTGACGTGTGAGTATCCGTGTGTCCGGTCGGGGTGGCGTGTGAGTATGCGTGTGTCCGGTCGGGGTGGCGTGTGTCTGGTCTGTGGCGGTGACATGTGAGTATCCGTGTGTCCGTTCGGTCGGGGTGACGTGTGAGTATCCGTGTGTCCGGTCGGGGTGGCGTGTGAGTATGCGTGTGTCCGGTCGGGGTGGCGTGTGTCTGGTCTGTGGCGGTGACATGTGAGTATCCGTGTGTCCGTTCGGTCGGGGTGACGTGTGAGTATCCGTGTGTCCGGTCGGTCGGGGTGACGTGTGAGTATCCGTGTGTCCGGTCGGTCAGGGTGGCGTGTGAGTATCCGTGTGTCCGGTCGGTCAGGGTGGCGTGTGAGTATCCGTGTGTCCGGTCGGTCGGGGTGGCGTGTGAGTATCCGTGTGTCCGGTCGGTCAGGGTGGCGTGTGAGTATCCGTGTGTCCGGTCGGGGTGACGTGTGAGTATCCGTGTGTCCAGTCGGTCAGGGTGGCGTGTGAGTATCCGTGTGTCCGGTCGGTCAGGGTGGCGTGTGAGTATCCGTGTGTCCGGTCGGTCGGGGTGACGTGTGAGTATCCGTGTGTCCAGTCGGTCAGGGTGGCGTGTGAGTATCCGTGTGTCCGGTCGGTCAGGGTGGCGTGTGAGTATCCGTGTGTCCGGTCGG